GCTGAAAATACAGCTGCGCATCACAGAAATAAATTACAGTTTAACACATTCACATAGAAAACAGCTGTTTTAAACTGTAATAATATTTCACAATTTTTACAGTATTTTTGATCAAATAAATGCAGCCTTGCTGAGCAGAAGAGACTTCTTTCAAAAAACATTAAAAAGTTGAAAAATAGTGTAAATGTTCACTCTGTTTGATGTGTTTAAAACAAACAACACGAGAGTCTCACCTCAACTCTCTTGATCTCACCCACGTCTAGTCCGTAACACATGAAGTGCTCCATTCGTCCCGCAGCAAAGCATGTCTTCCCGTCAGTGAGATCCAGCCAGAGTCGCTCCGTTTCTAAATCATTGGGCCCCATGATGATAACGTAAACCCGACTGGTGGTGCTGGCATCATGATCGTCTCCGGTGGACACTGTGAAGTGGTACGGGATCACTGCCAAAACACAGATGCTGAGCATTAAACGACCCGTTTCTGTCTGTCTGAGACTTCAGAATGAATCACTGGAATAAAGCATCATCTTACTCGGACCCTCTTCCATAATAACAGCCTTTTTCTTCTTCTTCTTCTTGTTCATGTTGCTGTCAAGACCTGCTTTAGAGTTCTGCATGTTCTTCTTTGCGTTCTGAGGGTTCCTCTCACCCTCGTATCCCTAACAGAAAAACACGACATCGACACGATTTCATGAAGTTTCTATTAGGGCTAATGAAAAATTTGAATCTAACTAATTACATGAAATGCCAATAACTTAATCGCAAATCAATTTAGGCAGAGAAATGACCCTCAAAAGATCATTTAAAGTCATTAATGTGTTAAATATGAAAACACTGAATAGAAACTACAGAAAATTTGATTTAGAAAGAAATATTTTGATTCAACATTTAATACTGATTTTTGTTTTTTAAATTTAATGATATTCTAAATATAAATCTAAAACCAGCAGTAGGTCTAAATGTCTTAATGAGTTTAAAATACATTCATTAATTCGTTCAACCGTTTCAATCAAACAGCTGATTCATTCAGAAATAAAAGAAATGCCTTGTCTTTACGAATGAATTACTGAATATTTGGCTCATTCGATTCGTTCAAAAGGCAGATTCATTCAGAAATGAAGCGAGAGACTGTCTTTACGAATGAATCACTGAATCTTTGGCTCACTCGATTCGTTCAAAAGGCAGATTCATTCAGAAATGAAGCGAGAGACTGTCTTTACGAATGAATCACTGAATCTTTGGCTCACTCGATTCGTTCAAAAGGCAGATTCATTCAGAAATGAAGCGAGAGACTGTCTTTACGAATGAATCACTGAATCTTTGGCTCACTCGATTCGTTCAAAAGGCAGATTCATTCAGAAATGAAGCGAGAGACTGTCTTTATGAATGAATCACTGAGTCTTTGGCTCACTCGATTCGTTCAAAAGGCAGATTAATTCAGAAATTAAGCGAGAGACTTGTCTTTACGAATGAATCACTGAATCTTTGGCTCACTCGATTCGTTCAAAAGGCAGATTCATTCAGAAATGAAGCGAGAGACTGTCTTTAGGTATGAATCACTGAATCTTTGGCTCACTCGATTCGTTCAAAAGGCAGATTCATTCAGAAATGAAGCGAGAGACTGTCTTTACGAATAAATCACTGAATATTTGGCTCACTCAAGTCGTTCAAAAGGCAGATTCATTCAGAAATAAAGCGAGAGACTGTCTTTACGAATGAATCACTGAATCTTTGGCTCATTCGATTTGTTCAAAAGGCAGATTCATTCAGAAATGAAGCGAGAGACTGTCTTTACGAATGAATCACTGAATCTTTGGCTCACTCGATTCGTTCAAAAGGCAGATTCATTCAGAAATGAAGCGAGAGACTGTCTTTACGAATGAATCACTGAATCTTTGGCTCACTCGATTCGTTCAAAAGGCAGATTCATTCAGAAATGAAGCGAGAGACTGTCTTTACGAATGAATCACTGAATCTTTGGCTCACTCGATTCGTTCAAAAGGCAGATTCATTCAGAAATGAAGCGAGAGACTGTCTTTACGAATGAATCACTGAATCTTTGGCTCACTCGATTCGTTCAAAAGGCAGATTCATTCAGAAATGAAGCGAGAGACTGTCTTTACGAATGAATCACTGAATCTTTGGCTCACTCGATTCGTTCAAAAGGCAGATTCATTCAGAAATGAAGCGAGAGACTGTCTTTACGAATGAATCACTGAATCTTTGGCTCACTCGATTCGTTCAAAAGGCAGATTCATTCAGAAATGAAGCGAGAGACTGTCTTTACGAATGAATCACTGAATCTTTGGCTCACTCGATTCGTTCAAAAGGCAGATTCATTCAGAAATGAAGCGAGAGACTGTCTTTACGAATGAATCACTGAATCTTTGGCTCACTCGATTCGTTCAAAAGGCAGATTCATTCAGAAATGAAGCGAGAGACTGTCTTTACGAATGAATCACTGAATCTTTGGCTCACTCGATTCGTTCAAAAGGCAGATTCATTCAGAAATGAAGCGAGAGACTCTCTTTATGAATGAATCACTGAATCTTTGGCTCACTCGATTCATTCAAAAGGCAGATTCATTCAGAAATGAAGCGAGAGATTGACTTTATGAATGAGTCACTGAATCAATGACTCATGCTAATTATCATAATTGATGGACAACTAAACCTGTGAAAAGAGATCAGCAATCCGGCACAGAGAAAAAGAAAAAGAAGATGAAGCCTGTGCATCACTTTCAGGTTCATTTTGGTGCAAGTTTCAGGTGCAAATCCCGTGAAACTTTTTTGGCTGTTGATGTTAATAACGTGTTTTAATGTCGGTAATAATTTAACCACCAACAACGCATCTAATATTCTCTCTGAGTTTCCATGTTCCCTTACGAAAATTAGCCATGGTTTTACTACGAATAAAACCAATGAATTCATGGTTTTGTAGCCACGGTAACCATGAATTAACCATGGTTTTGTTACTTCAAATAATAGTTTACAAAGACGTATTAAGATAATATTTTAAACAGACCTAAGCCAACAACATCCTTTAAAATGACTTAAAATGCATTATATAAAAACTATGAGGCAATAATGATTGGTTAATTAACAATTATATGGTTTGGTTGAATAACACTGTTAAAATGCATAATGTAATACAAAAAAAACAATTTATGTACATTACATATTTTTACAAATGCCTGTAAAGGGCGCCGAAGACCTGGTAGAATAGAAATGCTACAGCCTCTATAATTTCTTCAACAAAAACATGTGGACATCACAACCCTTACAAAAATGAACCATGGTTTTATCGTAGTAAAACTGCTTAATTTTCTTTTGCGTGATTTCTGAATGCTTGAGTCTATAAAATCAATCAGACAACTGCATTAATAAAACCGTAGCCATAGGTAACACTCTAGAGCTACAATTGTAATTTTTAAATAATGCAATTTAATTAAAATGTATTATTTGTGACCCTGGAGCACAAAACCAGTCATAAGGGTCAATTTTATGAAATTGAGATGTATACATGATCTGAAAGCTGAATAATAAGCTTTCCATTGATGTATGGTTTGTTAGGATAGGACAATATTTGGATGAGATGCAACTATTTGAAAATCTGGAATCTGAGGGTGCAAAAAAAAATCCAAATATTGAGAAAATCATCTTTAAAGTTGTTCAAATTAAGTTCTTAGCAATGCATATTACTAATCAGAAATTAAGTTTTGATATATTTACGGTAGGACATTTACTAAATATCTTCATGGAACATGATCTTTACTTAATATCCTAATGATTTTTGGCATTAAAGAAAAATTGATAATTTTGACCCATATTACGTATGACGTATTGTTGGCTATTGCTACAAATATACCCCAGCGACTTAAGACTGCTTTTGTGCTCCAGGGTCACATATTAGAGGGTGATTTTTTGCACTAATTTCTTGAATTTTAGATTCATATAACTGCATTCTAATAGGCTCCATCACGCTGCATCATGTTCATCAGAAACTGGATGGGACGCTGTGTTAAATGCATTTTAACACTTTATTTATTCCATAATTAATTGACAAGTTAAATCGACAGCCCTAGTTTTTATGAATGAGATTTCCATCACCTTGACAAAGAAGGTCCTCTCGATGCGCTTGTCCTCTTTCTTAGTGGAGAGCCAGCGTTCACACAGAAACATGTAAACCTCTTCTGTCTCCACATCCACCACCTCCACCTGATCCAGATACCAGTCAGCTCCAGCCAGAGAATTATCATGCTGGATTCTGATCTTATAGACCTGACCCAGATCCACGGCTTCAATGCTGAACTTGTCAACCTGCACACAAACAACTGCTGTGAATCCTGAAATGCTAACGTTGCTGCTTTCATTGTTGTGCTGATGATGCCCTGCATTGTTTTTCTTCTAAATGAGGTTTGATGGTTAGTGGAGCGTCTGATAGACTTTATGGATGATAATATCTCCTTCTTCTACATAAATGTTTTTTCATTGTCACAGCTCTAATAGCTATAAAACTGTTCTGAAGCTATTTTAAAAATGTAAAAATTTGTGCCTTTTAATTTTAAATTGAAACCACTATACAATAAACTGACTTTCCTTCTGCTAATTCAGATAAAAACGGTATTATCAGGGTTATTAATAGGTAATTACTAGGTTTGGGCTTTTGCATCACTTAGCACTTTGTTAATGACAATAAAAAATATAAGAAGACAAGATATTATAATTTAGAAAATTTTGTCACTTGAAATAAAAGTAACAATTTTTCATTTCATTTTCATAGTACTTGATGTAATGTAGCTTGATGCAACAAAACTAAAAATAATAACACTTTAAATTAAATTAAAATATAAAAAATAAAATACATGAAAAAAAAAAATGTAAAACATTAAAACAAAATATACAAAGTAAAAAAAATATCTAAATATTACTAAAAAGTATAATAGATACTCACTGATACTAAAATAACAAAATTATTGTATTATTCATCAAATGTAGAAATAAGCTGCGTTTGTGCAACCTGTTTCTACATCAGTGGTTCTTAACCAAGGGGTGTTAAGATGACTTAAAATTATTATAAAAAGACAAAATCACATTAAAATAATCACAATAATTCTTATTTTAATTCACCCTCTCAACAAAATGTATTTTATTTTTTATTTAAATTTTTTTTTTTTTTTGAGGATTCTGGATATTTGAAAAAGCCAAAGATTTCTTGACCTATAAGTTAGCGAAATTCATAAACTCATATAACTTCATGGGCATTTTTATAATGAACATGCATTTTTCTAGTTATTCCAAGCTCTAAAATATAAAATAATAAGATAAATAATACTGTTAAAAATGTCTAGTAAATAAGGTAAATTCCTTGGTTAATTAATAAGAGCAGTATCCCTGAAGAACATGAATAATATTCATATTATTGTGAATAATATTGGACCTTGGAGTCAAAAAGGTTGCGAACTGCTGTTCTAGATGGTTTTACATCATCCTCTATAGCTGCCATATTTGCTTTGGCAAGGAAATGTCTTTCAAGAAAGATATAACAATAACTATGAGTATCATGGTGCTTACGGCTCCTCTCTCAAACTTGTTGCCGTTGCTCTCAGATTTGCTGAGCTTGCGTTCTCCGGTGTCTCCCAGATCTCCGTAGATGGTCAGGAACACATTGGCATCGGTGCCAGCTCCATGCATGTCCCCCGTCCTCACCGACACCTTATACGTGTGAGCTGCAGAAACATCAGCATGTGTGTTAATGATCGACAACAAGTGAGATGCACCACTGTAACCTTTCAAGAATATTCTGATATAAAGGAAAACAAACCACAACATGAATTCTAACATGCATTTTCAGCTGAAATGTGTTTATTTGAGTCAGTGTTGTTACTGTTAACTAAAACTATTCTTCACATTTATTATAAAGCACTGTCACAGTAAAAAACAGAAATATAAAATAACAGTGTTATTGTTGCGAAATTCATTAATTATGAAACAAATTAATTTCAGCTGTAAAATAGCTCTACAGAAGACAATACAGTAATTACTCAGTTCATGTTTTGTTCTCATCCATTAATGTTAGTGCATTAACTTGATAATATAACTGAATATTAATTGTATTTGAAACATATTAAAAATTGTTTTTGTCAAGTGAAGCAGAAATAAAATATAAATATAAGATTTTGGTTTTGATTGCTTCTATTGTCATCATTTGTAAGTCGCTTTGTATAAAAGCATCTGCTAAATGACTAAATGTAAGATGAAAATTGTAAATGTTGCATTGGCGACTAACTGAAATAAAATAAGTAGTGAAGTACTTAAAATAATATTAAATTAATTTAAAATTGTGAATATTAAAATACAGAAGTACTAAAATTTAAATAAACTAACAAATAAACCTGAAATAAAAATAAATTAAACCAAATAAAAAAAAAATAAAAAAAAAACCATATATCATTTAATTTACGATATATCCCATTAATAATTAACTGAATGCACTACGAATCTCTCGTTTTTCCTCAAATCCTCACGTCTCACTCCAGGTTTGTTTTTACACACATACTAATACCTACTTGCAGTGTTTACTAGGGCTGGGTAAAAAAAAATATTGATTTCTCGATTTTAATCGATTCTCATTTTTATGTGATGATATCAATTCTTAAATCCCAAGAATCAATTAGTCTAGCCTGTTTCCAGTTAATAAACAGAATATTGTACAGCGCCTCCCATTCAATAAATCGCAATAAGCTTTGTGCTTTGTTACTTTTGATATGAACCAAAGTCTGAGATTTCAAATTCTGTCCGTTTTATTGCAATATTCAAATAACAAATGCCGTTTAATGCGGAGTGACTAAATGTCTCCTCCACTTTAATACAAGTTATAGCACAAAATAAACATGAATGAACATCCGAAGGTATGTTAAAAGAACGAGTACAACTTACCGAAACCCGTATTCTGTCTCATGTAATCGCTCAATCAGTGTTTCAACCGCGCAAAGATGTCAATATAACAGCTTGTAAACGTCACAATTAAATTACCTCAGAAAAAACATATTCTGTGATCATAAACCCGTTAGTCAGCAAGAGAAATTAACTCTAGAGAGGATAATTTTGCTAAATGTATGCACCATACAGCATATTCATTATGATTTTTTTGGCTGCTCTTCAATATTTGATTTATGTTTAAACAAATATATTTTTTAGTGCTGTCAAACGATTAATTGCGATCCAAAATAAAAGTTTTTGTTTACATAATATATATGTGTGTACTGTGCATATTTATTATGTTTATTATGTTACACACACATTCAGTAATAAATATATACATGTAAATATTTTCAAAATATATACTCTATATGTTTGTATTTATATAAACATAATAAATATACACAGTACACCCACACATATATTATGTAAACAAAACCTTTTATTTTGAATGCGATTAATCGTTTGACAGCACTAATATTTTCTATTTACATAATATTAATAATATAATATTTTTTTATATATTTTTTAAATAATTTTAAGCTTCAATATTAATGTAGTACCAACTGACTACATTATACTACAGCATTAGTTGAGAGATTTTTTTTCCTTGAGAAAATTTGCCATGTACTATACATGATGTAATAATCGATTTTGAATTTAATTGAATCGGAATCGAATCGCAAGCTTGTGAAGCATAATCGAATCAAATTGTGAAATTTGTGTTAAAACCCAGTCCTTCTAAAGCAATATTTGTTATCTGTCAAAATGATGGAATCTTTTGCTGATTGTTCACAGAAGTTATTCCTATAGCATCATGGGGGCATAGGAAAAAGCTGGATATTGTGTCTATTTGTGCTTTATAAATAAATAAATAGACTGAAATCCTAATACTGTACAGTACGACAGTCACGTACTCTCCAGAGCATCCTCCACCTCGATCTCGTTGTGTTTGAGCGTCCCGTCTCTCAGCAGCTTCTCCGTGATGATCTCCGAAGACACCACCTCTCTCACCGTCTCGCCGTCATCCTCAGACTTGGCCAGCCAGCGTTCACAGGGGAAGATGGTCGTCTCCGAACCCTGGAGAATATTCGGTTCACTCAGGGTTCCTACACGTTTTCCATTTTCAAAGTTCCATACTTTTCCAGACTCGAATTTCCAAACCTCTCAGTAGAATAACAGACCATGCTTAACATAAATGGTTCATACAGCATTATTTTCAGCTTTATATTTGGTATATGGTTATGGAAGGCATTATCTGCCAATTTTAAATAAATCAATTTAATTATAAAAATTAAAACCAGATTAACAATTTCATTATAGAACACTATACACAAAATATGTGCCAAAATTGAAAATAAAATGAAATCATTTAATTTTCATTTTCAGTGTGACAATGCATTGTCCCTGGCATATATTTTGCGTATAGTTTTCTATAATGAAATTGTTAATCTGGTTTTCATGTTAATTTTTATAGTTAAATTGATATGTGACCCTGGACCACAGAACCAGTCATAAGGGTCAATTTTTTTAAATTGAGATTTATACATCATGTGAAAACTGAATAAATAAGCTTTCCATTGATGTATGGTTTGTTTTTACTTAATATCCTAATGATTTTTGACATAAAAGAAAAATCAATAAGTTTGTACAACAATGTATTTTTTGCTATTGCTACAAATATACCCCAGCGACTTAAGACTGCTTTTGTGGTCCAGTGTAGGGTTGTGACGGTGAGGAAATTTTCCCACCGGTTAATCGACGTGTGACAACATCACCGCAGGGGCGGGGCGTTCCCTCTTTTCCTCGCTTTCCTTCACTTTTAAATAGCTTGTAAAAGCGGTGTGCCCATTTTAATTGTCAGTCAGCTTGACTCACTCTTCTTGTCTGTCCCACCTCACTCTTCTTCTCTGTCTCGCCTCACTCTTCTTGTCTGTCTCGCCTTACTCTTCTTGTCAGTCAGCTTGACTCACTCTTCTCACTGGAGAAATTAAATCTGATCTGTGATGCGACTGTCGTTTGGCACGCTGCATTGAGCAGCCGCGTTCAGTTTTTAATTGTAGTGTCTGTTCTTTTACTGAACTAAATTATTTTTATTACTATAAAAAATCAAAACGACGGTGGGGGTCGGTGCCGCGGTGGGCAAGTGACGTAACCGGTGTTGCGGCTTAACAACGGTATCACCGTCTATCACGGCAAGCCTAGTCCAGGGTCACATATTATCTGAACGCTGTTACCTTTCCTTTCCTCAAAAGTCTTCTGATTTCCACTCTGTCCAGATGCCAGCCGGGGTTCGTCCCTTGGTTATCGTGTCCAATGCGGATCTTCTCTATGACATCCCCTATGTCTTCCAGCTTGGCAGAGAAATGAAAGCACAGCGTTGACTGACAGAGAGCGCATCTGTGCTGTATAATGACGACCGGCTGATGCTCACCTCTACAATGAACATGTCTTCTGCTGATCTCTCGAAGTACATGCGTCGTTCTCTCTTGTTCACACACAGGTACTTCTGCTGCGTACACAGACCCTTCTGACCGTACAGAACGATGAAAACATTCGCGTCCGTCCCCGCAGCGAACACGTCACTCGTGAAGGTGGTGATCTCATAGGGAACGACTACAGGAGAAAGACACAAACAATTACTCAAATCTATTTATAGGGATCGTTCACCGAAAGATAAAGCACACGCACACAAACCTCTCTGGCTGTTTTATATTCATATAAAGCTAAATGTGAGAACTTAAGAGCAGTTTCTTCATCTGTGATGTCATGCTGCACTCCAAACCAGGGTTATTATTACAGTTAACTAAAACTATAAAAAACATTTAGGTAACACTTTATTTTAAGGTGTCCTTGTTACGCATGTTACATGTACTTACCATTGTAATAACAATAAATTATTCATAATTACATGCAAGTAACCCTAAGCCAAAACCTAACCATATAGTAAGTACATGTAGTTAATTAATATTACTCAGTACTTAAATGTATAATTACACTGTAACAAGGATACCTTAAAACAAAATAAATGTTAATTGAAATAAAAGTATACACATTTTTTTTTATTTAAGCTAGATGCCAAGGCAACATTTCTCATTTTCATTTAGTTTAACTTGATGTATTAAGATAAATAAAACCAAAATAATTTGCAAAATATATTAAGATATAAAACAGAAATATAGAAACATATTAAAAAAAAACTAATAATAAAAATGCACAAGAAAATGAAAAGAAATTGAACTAAAACCTGAACTAAAATGAAAACAGCAAATAAAAAATACTAAAATAAAAACTAAAACAACACTGATCCAAACAAAGATGTTTTCACGTTAAACTTATACTGTTAAAATACACTGCAAAAATGATTTTCTTATTTCTCTCATTTAAGTGAATCTATGTTTAAAACAAGAAAAAAAAATCTGCCAATGGTGTCATAAAGATTCTTGTTTTTCCCGTTGAATTAAGTTTATTTTTCTGAACCCACTGGCAGTTATTCCACTTATTCTTTTAAGCATAAATTTGCTTAATTTTGATAATTTTCTTTTTTCATTGAATATCTTGAAAAAAACCATTTTTTTTCATTTAATAGAATTGAAAGACTTAATATTTTAAGTCATTTTGCTACTGACGTAAATGTATCTTGATTTAAGAATGTTTAGATATTTGTACAAGACAAGATTAAAAAAAAACTAATAAGAAAATCAGGACTTTGCCTTTCTTTGGGATACTGTCTATTACTGTTTTGTAAGAAAAAATGCCAAAGAGTGTTCAATGAAAGCAAACAATAATAAAATAATCACTGCATGTCCTTTGGCTGTAAACAAAGCGGTTCACAGTCTCTTACACGGCGTGTAAAGTTCAGTCTGTAGCTCCGCTGGATACAGATCTCTGACAACAGCTCCATCGTCTTCTCCTGTGTCCAGCCAGCGGCCACATGGGAAACGAAGCCTCTGTCCTTGAGAAGGAGCATTGATCTCCACCCAGTCCAGGAACCATCCAGCAGACCCTCCTGCAAAACACAGACCCAATCATCTCCATTAATGCTCCTGCTAATACCGACGATTAAAGCTACAGTCCAGCTAGAGAGGAAACTATCCAAGATGTCTATTTTCTTGCTCAGACGTTGCTCTTTTATGGCTCAAGCTCTCGGGAATGAAGAGCTTTCTTACAGATGTTTCTCTTAAAATTCCTTAGGAGAAATAAAAACAAACCCAAATGAGCCAATAGCTGTGTTGTAGTAAGAGTATAACGCTGTAACATTTAGAGGAAAGCAGCTCAGATCATTTGATGAGAAACACTTGAGTTCTCATTGAGACTGCAAACTCAGACTGTCATCTAGATATACACTATATTGCCAAAAGTATTGGGACACCTCCTTCTAATGAACAGGTTTGACTACTTTAGTAATTTCCATGAGTACAAATCTTAATGTTAAAGCATATAATGATATTCTAGGGAATTGTGTGCTTTTCATTTTATAGCAACAGTTTGGACAGGACCCTTTTCTATTCTAACATGACGATGGCTCTGTGTATAAGGCAAGGTTAAAAAAAAATGATTGATTGAGTCAGTGTGGAAGAAATTGACTAGTCTGGTGTGACTTTAAATGTAGACCTTGAGCCAAAAACTCATCAGCAAACACCAATGACTTGTACATATGGGTGCAGTCATTTTAGACACTTCCAAAACTGTTGCAACAGAGATGGAAATACAATATTTAAATACATGAATTTATCTTTGTTACCACAGTTTTGGAAGTGCCTTTTTCTGTTCTAAAGAAGGGGGTGTCCCAATACTTTTGTCCATATACTATATGTACAAGTCATTGGTGTTTGCTGATGAGTTTTTGGCTCTAGGTCTGCATTTAAAGTCACACCAGACTAGTCAAGTTCTTCCACACTGACTCAATCAGTCATTTCGTTTTGAACCTTGCCTTATACACAGAGGCATCGTCATGTTAGAATAGAAAAGGGTCCTGTCCAAAATGTTGCTTTCCATCTTAGTTTTCCCGTTACGAGTGGTCATGGCCATTTGTAAATTTAATGTGTCTGGCTTCCGGTCCCATCTGCATCCAGCTATTTTTAGCTGTGTAAAACAGCTCTTTTTGCTGCTTGATATCGCAAATTGGTGTGTCTTACCATATTATTTTAATTTATTATCTTAAAGGGGTCATATCATGCGATTTCAATTTTTCCTTTCTCTTTGGAGTGTTACAAGCTCTTGGTGCATAAAGAAGATCTGTAAAGTTGCAAAGACTAAAGTCTCAAATCCAAAGAGATATTCTTTATAAAAGTTAAGAGTTAGCCACACCTACCTAAAACGGCTCGTTCTAACATGCCCCCACATATCTACCTCACTATGTGGGAAGATTTGCATAACGCCGCCCAAATGTTCACGCAAAGAAAGAAGGGGGTTCAACCGTAATTATACGAAGCTACGAGAATACTTTTTTGTGCGAAAAAAAAACAAAAACAACAACACTTTATTCAACAATTCGTCTCCTCCGCATCAGGGTCAGACAGCTCTCAGATTCCATCAAAAATATCTTAATTTGTGATCCGAAGACGAACGAAGGTCTTACGGGTTTGGAACAACATGAGGGTGAGTAATTAATGGGTTTGAAACGATATGAGGGTGAGTAATTAATGACAGAATTTCCATTTTTGGGTGAACTAACCCTTTAATTATGAACAAACTGGCTTGTAGTGCAAACAGTTTTACCGTCTACTGCACTTTGTTATTCTTCTCGTTATTTCCCTACGGCAGCTAATGAACCGGAAATCTTGCACATTCACAGAAAACGGCTTACTTCCATGTTGAAGAATTCCCTAGAATATCATTATATGCTTTAACATTAAGATTTGTTCTAATGGAAATTATTTAAGTGGTCAAACCTGCTCATTAGAAAGGGGGGGGGGTGGTGTTCCAATACTTTTGGCAATATAGCGTATCTGAGCACAGTTTCGGATAATACTGAGATCTTTTCTGAAACTCCAGATTGAGATCTGGGAGAAACATAAGCAAAGTTTGATCTCAGTTCAATCACTGCTGTCCAGGAATGTAAGAGGTTTATTTGTGATTTATTCCCAATGACTGGAGAACAACAGCTGCCATTAAGAGCGATGTGATTGGAGCGTTTCTGTACCGTTGCCAAGCAACTTAATACCAGACAGGTTGCTAACTGTTTGCAAGAAGCTTTTAGAGGCAGTCGAGCAAATCCTGTCCAAACAAAGCCTGATTCAAACCCAGCTGTCACTCAGCATGTGATCACATTCAGACGGGCTTTCGGTCACAGTTAATGCTCACCTGAGTTGTCATGGCCAATTCTCAATTTCTGGAGTTCTCCGAGATCAACGGCTTCCACGATAAATTCATCGATCATTCCTTTCTCAAACTTGTTTTTGTGTGATTTAGAGGCTTTCGGGTTAATGAGTCCTGTTCAGTTCATGAGGATAGAGGGGAAGAAATCAAGAAAAGCTGCGAATAGTTAGCGGATAGTGTGAAGAACGCTCTATATTTATTCAAAGTGGTGATTGCGTGTATTTTCACCTGTGTCGTCATTCTCTCCATACAGAATCGCAAAGATATTGGCGTCTGTTCCAGCGTGTTTCTTTTCTCCAGTCTTGATCTTCAATGTGTATGTTGTCGACATTGCTACAAACAAAACAAAAAGAATAAGAAGAAAATAAATTAAATAATAATAAGTACTTGGACTGACAGACAAAACTGATCACATTTGATTAAATTTGCAATCGTTTGCTTTAGACTGAAATTAGAAGTAGATATGATTTCAATATAATTTCAGCAAAAATGTTCCAGTTACAAGGTGAATCGCTGGGGAATAAGATGTATTTTTTTATTAAAAATAACAACACAAATCATACAAACAACATTTATTTTTTTATTTTTTTTTAGATTATTCACATTTTATTAAAGATACCCATAAACCAGCTAGACAAAGTTCTCCCAACTTATCTAGTATATACTTCTGTGTCAACTATTTTCTTTTCAACAAGAGCACAAAGCAATAAAATTAATGTGTATAGAGATCATTGGATTCTCGAGAGAATTTGCTGAGATGCATTTTCAATTTGTAAAAAATTTTTTCAAATTTAAATTTTAAGTTCATATTGAGCAACATTTAATAATTCAAGCCTATGTAATATATTTTTAGATCTGCTTTGACATAAAACTAATTTTATTTGCTACTGACACTGTGTTTTGTTCACCTTTCTGCTCCAAACCCAGTGTGGCCCCAGACTCCTCCTCATCCTCGTCCTTCCTCATGAAGGCCTCATCCACAGGAACGAGCTCTCGCGCAATCTGACCATCATCTTCATCAACTGCCAGCCAGCGGTTACAGGGGAAGTAATACCTGAGCGTAAGCCGATATGAAGAGTTAGACGTGAGACGCGTTCATTACGTTTCTGCGTTATGTGACAGTGTGTTTAAGCGCTTCCACACAATAGACTCATTAATAAATCGACACATGCAGATCATCATGTGATCCGTTTTCCTGAAGTCTATCTGTGTCTTTTAATGTAGCTGCTGGGTTATTCTGAGTATTTTAGTGTGTTGCTATGCAGTTGCTGGGTTGTTCTGAGGGGTTTTAGAGTGTAGTTGTTCTGAGTATTCTAAAGTGTTGCTATGCGGTTGCTGGGTTGTTCTGAGTATTCTAAAGTATTGCTATGCTGTTGCTGGGTTGTTCTGAGTATTCTAAAGTGTTGCTATGTGGTTGCTGGGTTGTTCTGAGGGGTTTTAGAGTGTTGCTATGCGGTTGCTGGTTATTCTGAGTATTTTCGTGTGTTGCTATGCAGTTGCTGGGTTGTTCTGAGGGGTTTTAGAGTGTTGCTATGCAGTTGCTGGGTTGTTCTGAGGGGTTTTAGAGTATTGCTATGCGGTTGCTGGGTTATTCTGAGTATTTTAGTGTGTTGCTATGCAGTTGCGGGGTTGTTCTGAGGGGTTTTAGAGTGTTGCTATGCAGTTGCTGGGTTATTCTGAGTATTTTAGAGTGTTTCTACGTGTGTTGCTATGCGGTTGCTGGGTTGTTCTGAGGTGTTTTAAAGTGTTGCTGTGCGGTTGTGTGTGTTTTTCCGACGGCGTTTAAAGTATTGCTATGCGGTTGCTGGGTTATTCTGTGCATTTTAGAGTGTTGGTATGCGGTTGCTGGGTTGTTCTGAAAAATGTTAGAGTATAGCTATGCAGTTGCTGAATAATTATGAGAATTTTACAGTGTTGCTATGTGGTTGCTGGGTCATTTTGAGTGTTTTATAGTGTTGCTATGCGGTTGCTGGGTTATTCTGATTGTTTTAGAGTGTTGCTATGCGGTAGCTGGGTTGTTTTGAGGGGTTTTAGAGTGTTGCTATGTGGTTGCTGGGTTGTTTTTAGGGGTTTTAGAGTGTTGCTATGTGGTTGCTGGGCTTTTCTGAGCATGCTGCTATGCGGTTGCTGGGTTATTCTGATAGTTTTTAGAGTGTTGCTATGCAGTTGCTGGGGTGTTCTGAAGGGTTTTAGAGTGTTGCTATGCGGTTGCTGGGTTGTTCTGAGGGCTTTTAGAGTGTTGCTATGCGGTTGTGTATGTTTTTCCGAGCGCGTTTAGAGTGTTGCTATGCGGTTGCTGGGTTGTTCTGAGGGGTCTAAAGTGTTGCTATGCGGTTGCTGAGTTGTTCTGAGTATTCTAAAGTGTTGCTATGCGGTTGCTGTTGCTGGGTTGTTCTGAGGGGTTTTAAAGTGTTGCTATGCGGTTGTGTCTGTTTTTCCGAGGGCGTTTAGAGTGTTGCTATGCGGTTGCTGGGTTCTTCTGTGTATTTTAGAGTGTTGCTATGCGGTTGCTGGGTTGTTCTGAAAAATTTTAGAGTATAGCTATGCAGTTGCTGAATAATTATGAGAATTTTACAGTGTTGCTATGTGGTTGCTTGGTTTTTCTGAGTATTTTAGAGTGTTGCTATGCGGTTGCTGGGTCATTTTGAGTGTTTTATGGTGTTGCTATGCAGTTGCTGGGTTATTCTGACTGTTTTAGAGTGTTGCTATGCGGTAGCTGGTTTGTTTTGAGGGGTTTTAGAGTATTGCTATGCGGTAGCTGGTTTTTGAGGGGTTTTAGAGTGTTGCTATGCGGTAGCTGGGTTGTTGGTTGTTTTGTTAGAGTGTTGCTATGTGGTTGCTGGGTTGTTTTGAGGGGTTTTAGAGTGTTGCTATGTGCTATGTGGGTTGTTTTGAGGGGTTTTAGAGTGTTGCTATGCGGTCGCTGGGTTGTTTTGAGGGGTTTTAGAGTGTTGCTATGCGGTCGCTGGGTTGTTTTGAGGGGTTTTAGAGTGTTGCTATGCGGTAGCTGGGTTGTTTTGAGGGGTTTTAGAGTGTTGCTATGCGTGCTATGTGGTGTTTTGAGGGGTTTTAGAGTGTTGCTCTGTGGTTGCTGGGTTGTTTTGAGGGGTTTTAGGGGTTTTAGATGTGGTAGCTGGGTTGTTTTGAGGGGTTTTAGAGTGTTGCTATGTGGTAGCTGGGTTGTTTTGAGGGGTTTTAGAGTGTTGCTATGTGGTAGCTGGGTTGTTTTGAGGGGTTTTAGAGTGTTGCTATGTGGTAGCTGGGTTGTTTTGAGGGGTTTTAGAGTGTTGCTATGTGGTAGCTGGGTTGTTTTGAGGGGTTTTAGAGTGTTGCTATGTGGTAGCTGGGTTGTTTTGAGGGGTTTTAGAGTGTTGCTCTGTGGTTGCTGGGTTGTTTTGAGGGGTTTTAGAGTGTTGCTATGTGGTTGCTGGGTTGTTTTTAGGGGTTTTAGAGTGTTGCTATGTGGTTGCTGGGTTTTTCTGAGCATGCTGCTATGCGGTTGCTGGGTTATTCTGAAGGGGTTTAGAGTGTTGCTATGCAGTTGCTGGGGTGTTCTGAAGGGGTTTAGAGTGTTGCTATGCAGTTTCTGGGCTGTTCTGTGGGCTTTTAGAGTGTTGCTAAGTGGTTGCTGGGCTGTTCTGTGAGGTTTTAGAGTGTTGCTATGCAGTTGCTGGGGTGTTCTGAAGGGGGCTAGAGTGTTGCTTTGCAGTTGCTGGGCTGTTCTGGGGGATTTTAGAGTGTTGTTATGTAGTTCTGAAGGGTTTTATAGTGTTACTATTCAGTTTCTAGATTGTTCTGATATCTGTGTCAGGCCAGAGTCTAAGGAATCAGTCTGAGTGAACTCACGTGGTGTCATCTTTAGTGTCCACGATCTCCACCCTGTCTAGGTACCAGGCTGACTGATGGCTGTTATCATGACGGATCCTTAGTTTCTTCAAAGGCCCCAGTTCCACAGCTGTGATGGAGAACGTGTCCTCCTGTAAGTTGAAGCAGCACATAACCATGAATCTACTTCCACAAACATGAAGAAAACAATGACATGCAAGATGTCTGCTTGGGTCTGTCAGGGTGGCCTCGATTCAGAGGAGCATATTCGATGTGTGCGGTAAATAATTGATTGGCTCACATTAACAGATGAGTAAGACTATACGACTACATCTACTGTGAATAACATGAGGGATCGTGTCAGATTGCCTGCCTTCCATGACTGGACGTTCATCTGGTCATTCATCTCACCTGTCCACGTTCAAATTTGTTGAGATGATTGGACTTTCTCAAGGGTCGTTCTCCAGTATCTCCGTTCTCTCCGTAGAAGTTTATGAACACGTTGGCATCACTTCCGGCCCCCATCATGTTTCCCGTGAAGATATGGACCTCATATGTGTTTTCTGAGGCGGAACAGATTATGAATTATTAAAAAGAAAGTATTTACCATGATTTGATCAATGATACTGCAGCTGTAATCTGTGATGTGTGCACTATAATACACCAGTATTAATGTCACACTGGATTCTTAAATCTGAAAGAAATATCAGTGGTGTTTTCCCATGTAAAACTCACTGCCTTAATTCTAGAGTGCTGAAACTGGTTGCATGTGGTTGCTAAGGTATTCTCTGTGGTTATAAAGTGTTCCTATTCAGTTGCTAGGTTGTTCTGATTGGTTTTAGTATAGCTCTGCAATTGCTAGGTTATTCTAAAGGGGGTTTAGAGTGTTGCTATGCAGTTGCTAGGTTGTTCTGAGTGTTTTAGAGTGTTGCTATGCAGTTCCTAGGTTGTTCTGAGCGTTAGCTGGGTTGTTTTGAGGGGTTTTAGAGTGTTGCTCTGTGGTTGCTGGGTTGTTTTGAGGGGTTTTAGAGTGTTGCTATGTGGTAGCTGGGTTGTTTTGAGGGGTTTTAGAGTGTTGCTCTGTGGTTGCTGGGTTGTTTTGAGGGGTTTTAGAGTGTTGCTATGTGCTTGCTGGGTTGTTTTGAGGGGTTTTATAGTGTTGCTATGTGGTTGCTGGGTTGTTTTTAGGGGTTTTAGAGTGTTGCTATGTGGTTGCTGGGTTTTTCTGAGCATGCTGCTATGCGGTTGCTGGGTTATTCTGAAGGGGTTTAGAGTGTTGCTATGCAGTTGCTGGGGTGTTCTGAAGGGGTTTAGAGTGTTGCTATGCAGTTTCTGGGCTGTTCTGTGGGCTTTTAGAGTGTTGCTAAGTGGTTGCTGGGCTGTTCTGTGAGGTTTTAGAGTGTTGCTATGCAGTTGCTGGGGTGTTCTGAAGGGGGCTAGAGTGTTGCTTTGCAGTTGCTGGGCTGTTCTGGGGGATTTTAGAGTGTTGTTATGTAGTTCTGAAGGGTTTTATAGTGTTACTATTCAGTTTCTAGATTGTTCTGATATCTGTGTCAGGCCAGAGTCTAAGGAATCAGTCTGAGTGAACTCACGTGGTGTCATCTTTAGTGTCCACGATCTCCACCCTGTCTAGGTACCAGGCTGACTGATGGCTGTTATCATGACGGATCCTTAGTTTCTTCAAAGGCCCCAGTTCCACAGCTGTGATGGAGAACGTGTCCTCCTGTAAGTTGAAGCAGCACATAACCATGAATCTACTTCCACAAACATGAAGAAAACAATGACATGCAAGATGTCTGCTTGGGTCTGTCAGGGTGGCCTCGATTCAGAGGAGCATATTCGATGTGTGCGGTAAATAATTGATTGGCTCACATTAACAGATGAGTAAGACTATACGACTACATCTACTGTGAATAACATGAGGGATCGTGTCAGATTGCCTGCCTTCCATGACTGGACGTTCATCTGGTCATTCATCTCACCTGTCCACGTTCAAATTTGTTGAGATGATTGGACTTTCTCAAGGGTCGTTCTCCAGTATCTCCGTTCTCTCCGTAGAAGTTTATGAACACGTTGGCATCACTTCCGGCCCCCATCATGTTTCCCGTGAAGATATGGACCTCATATGTGTTTTCTGAGGCGGAACAGATTATGAATTATTAAAAAGAAAGTATTTACCATGATTTGATCAATGATACTGCAGCTGTAATCTGTGATGTGTGCACTATAATACACCAGTATTAATGTCACACTGGATTCTTAAATCTGAAAGAAATATCAGTGGTGTTTTCCCATGTAAAACTCACTGCCTTAATTCTAGAGTGCTGAAACTGGTTGCATGTGGTTGCTAAGGTATTCTCTGTGGTTATAAAGTGTTCCTATTCAGTTGCTAGGTTGTTCTGATTGGTTTTAGTATAGCTCTGCAATTGCTAGGTTATTCTAAAGGGGGTTTAGAGTGTTGCTATGCAGTTGCTAGGTTGTTCTGAGTGTTTTAGAGTGTTGCTATGCAGTTCCTAGGTTGTTCTGAGCGTTTTTAAATTGTTGCTGTATGGTTGCTAGCCTATCCTGAGTGTTTTTAGAGTATTGCTATACCATTTCTAGGTTGTTCTGAGTGTTTATAGAGTGTTGCTATGCAGTTCCTAGGTTGTTCTGAGTGTTTTAGAGTGTTGCTATGTGGTTGCTAGGCTCTCCTGAGTGATTTTGGAGTGTTGATATACCGTTTCTAGGTTGTTCTGAGTGTTTTTAGAGTGTTGCTGTGCAGTTGCTACTGTAGGTTATTTTAAGTGGTTTAGAGTGTTGCTATGTGGTTTCTAGGTTGTTCTAAGGGATTTTAGAGTGTTGCTATGTAGTTTCTAGATTATTCTGAGTGTTTTTAGAGTGTTGCTATGCAGTTGTTAGATTATTCTGAGTGTTTTTAGAGTGCTGCTATGCAGTTTCTAGGTTATTCTGAAAGTTTTTAGAGTGTTGCTATGCCATTTCTAGGTTGTTCTGCGTGTTTTTAGAGTGTTGCCATGTGGTTGCTGGGTTATTTTGAGTGTTTTAGAGTGTTGCTATGCAGCTTCGAGGTTGTTTTTGAGGGATTTTAAGAATGTTGCTATGTGGTTGCTAGGTTGTTCTGAGTGTTTTTACAGTGTTGCTATGCAGTTCCTAGTTTGTTCTGAGTGTTTTAGAGTGTTGCTATGTGGTTGCTAGGCTCTCCTGAGTGATTTTACAGTGTTGCTATACCGTTTCTAGGTTGTTCTGAGTGTTTTTAGAGTGTTGCTATATGGTTGCTAGGCTATCCTGAGTGTTTTAGAGTGTTGCTATTCAGTTTCTAGGTTGTTCTGAGGGGTTTTAGACTGTTGCTATACAGTTACTACTGCAGGTTATTTTAAGTGATTTAGAGAGTTGCTATATGGTTGCTGGGTCATTTTGAGTGTTTTTAGAGTGTTACTATGCAGTTTCTAGGTTGTTCTAATTTTTTTAAAGTGTTGCTATGTGGTTGCTAGGCTATCCGGAGAGTTTTTAGAGTGTTGCTATACCGTTTCTAGGTTGTTCTGAGTGTTTTTAGAGTATTGCTGTGCAGTTGCTACTGTAGGTTATTTTAAGTGATTTAGAGTGTTGCTATGTGGGTTATTTTGAGTGTTATAGAGTGTTGCTATGCAGTATCTAGGTTGTTCTAGGGATTTTGGAGTGTTGCTATGTGGTTGCTAGGTTGTTCTGAGTATTTTAGAGTGTTGCTATGTGGTTGCTAGGCTCTCCTGAGTGATTTTAGAGTGTTGCTATATGGTTGCTAGTAGACTTGTGCCGGTATTCGGTAGTGCGATATATCACGGTAATGAATATGCACGATATTGTTATCGTGGGCACTTCTAAATACCGTGAATAATTATATATTACAAATTATTCAGAATTTTTAATGCATTTTAAGAATACTTTTCCCATCAACTGGTCAAAATAAACACCACCGCTGTATGCTGCGTGGAAGACGCGTGCGCACTGATGTAAACAAGCGCGGACGAGAAGCACATGGCGGAACATGTGAGAGACGCTCTGGATGAAAGCGCATTTTCACTCTCTGACAGCAGATGGCGCTAAACTGCAGAAATAATCACAATAATAATAATTCATTTAAATGCAGCCGTTACCCTGGAAACCCTGTAAACAAAGCAGCTGCACTACTTTCTGTTTCTGAATGGTGTTTAAATGATTTAAACAGCCATTCAGATTTGTGTAATAGCTATGATGTTCATCACAGAGCCAAATGCATAAATATTTAGACTTAATAGGCTATTTATTTTCTAACTTTTTTTTTACATTTTAATCTGGACTACAACATGCCCTAGATATTGTTTGAAAGTGTTTTGATTCTTTATTGTTCGGTCACACTTTACATTAGGGCTTCATTAGTTAACATAAACTGCTTTTTTTTTAACAAAGATTAATAACTTCTGTAGCAAATGTAGCTATTGCTCATTGTGAATGTTAATGCATTAACTAAGGTTAACTAAAGAGATCTTATTGTAAAGTGATACCTATTGGTCTTTATAGTTCTTTTGCACATTAATCTGTGTAGAACTTTTAACTTTATACAATTTTCTTTATTGCTTTGTTGCATTTAAATGTTCAGTTATTTTTGTTATAAGAAAAAAGTTATTAAAACTATTATACTGTAGTATTACAGCACTTTTGTTAAACTAAATTTCAATATCGCGATAATACCGCATACTGTGATAAAAGCATTAGCAATTAATCGCAACATGAAAATTTGATACCGGCATATCCTTAGTTGCTAGGCTATCCTGAGTGTTTTAGAGTGTTGCTATACCATTTCTAGGTTGTTCTACGGGATTTTAGAGTGTTGCTGTACAGTTTCTAGATTATTCTGAGTGTTTTTAGAGTGTTGCTTTGCAGTTTCTAGTTTATTCTGAGAGTTTTTAGAGTGTTGCTATGTGGTTGCTAGGCTATCCTGAGTGTTTTAGAGTGTTGCTATACCATTTCTAGGTTGTTCTACGGGATTTTAGAGTGTTGCTGTACAGTTTCTAGATTATTCTGAGTGTTTTTAGAGTGTTGCTTTGCAGTTTCTAGTTTATTCTGAGAGTTTTTAGAGTGTTGCTATGTGGTTGCTAGGCTATCCTGAGTGTTTTAGAGTGTTGCTATACCGTTTCTAGGTTGCTCTGAGTGATTTTAGAGTGTTGCTTTGCAGTTTCTAGATTATTCTGAGTGTTTTTAGAAGCGCCGATGGGAGGGGAAAATTCTGCGTGTGATTTACTAACAATACGCACATTAAAGAACACAGAAGCAGCAGATAATTTCCATAATGACCAGCGCAATCTACCACCTGCTTTAAGACATGCTTTTTTTGGCGTTAAATAATGGCGCAAATACCAGTAATTTGACGAACGCAAAAGTTAGTAATCGTGTTGCATGATTCATTTTAACACTCTCCTCCTATAAATTTTGCATCTGAAAGGGAAACTCCTACAAATGCATATTTAATAAGGTCAGACGCAAAAATAACTTTTTATCGCTAATTCTTCTCTGCGTGTCTTTAGTAAATCCTGACATTTTAACGCCAAAAGACGGTTTGCGCTGGCGCAAGCTGTTAGTAAATCTGGCCTTAAGTCTTGTTTTCTGAAAAAATTGATAGAATTTATGCTTAAAACAAGAAAAAAAAAAGAAATATCTGCTATTGGGATCAGAACAATAAATGTACTTTGTTTTGAGAGGTTTTAGAATGTTGCTTTGTGGTTTCTTCTGTGGTTAAAAGAAGAAAAATATCTGATAAGATTATTTTTCTGACTCCATTGGCAGATATCTGTTCTTGTTTTGAGCATAAATTTGATACATTTTTAATAGAACAAAACTTGGTAACACTTTAGAATACTGTTCCATCGTTAATGAATAACTACACAGGAACAAATGACTAATGCACTATTAACATTGTAGTAACTACTACTACCTAACAAGAAAATATGATTACCAATTTAGTAAGTAATAGAGCTCATTGAAACTGGTAGTTCACTATTAGCTAATCAATAACTACTATATATATATATCCTGGAGAACTCCTAAGAACTACTGTATACAGGTTCATAATTAATATGAATTATGCATAATTAATTTTAGAGTAAAGATCATGGTAACCCACTAGTAATGACTCAAGTATTACCAAATCCTTCTAAAGGAACTACTAATTCGAATAAGCACTATTACTTACTAATTCATCAATCTGATTTCTTGTTAGATACTAGTAGTTACTAGAGTGCTAATATTGCATTACTCGTGTGTTCTTGTGTAGTTATTCAGTAATGATGGAACAGTATTCTAAAGTGTTTCCCAAAACTTAATATCTTAAGTCATTTTGCTTCTCAAGTAAATGCATCTTGATATACTGGAACCAAGGCAAGGCAAACAAGGCAAAAATCCTGAGGAAGAAGTAAATTGTTTGCAGTGTGTTTTCAGCAGGGATCTGCTATATAATAACAGCATGAGCGTTTACATTGTTCAACGTCCAGTATTTCACTGGGGTAAATCTCCACCTCCGTCTTCCCATCAGCCTCGTCTCTGCACAGCCAGCGGTGACTGGGGAACATGTAGTGTTTGCCGTGATTTGGCACCATGATCTGAACGCTGTCCAGAAACCAGCCAGCACGCATCCCTTCATTAGAGTGACCTATCAGGAGCCGGTTGATCTAGATTTGAGAAAAACATCTTCATGAGTTTATGAGGTGGTTTAATATGTGTCTGTTAAATATAATACAGTACTGTTAGGAAAGCACACATACCTGGCCGATGTCAGCGGTGTCGACGGTGAAAACATCCACCCGGCCCGCCTCGAAGTAATTGCGCAGGTTGTTGTCTGAGACCACGAGCATCATTCTGCTGGTGTCTCCCTTCTCACCGTAGAACTTCACAAACACTTTAGAGTCTGAACTTCCTCCACTGACGTTTCCCGTCTTCACTGCGATGTGATAGCTGACGTCTGAAACAGACATTTCTCATATTCAGCTTTCATGTGTTCTAAGAACTGAAAAGGCTAATTTGACCTTTGTGCTGAATTCTGGTTTTCGGTGAAACTGAAGTTCCCCTGAACAGTGAGGGGGGTTTATGAGAAAAGCTAACAATTAATAAAAATGTAAATTGAAATTCAATAAATAATAATAAAACACTTACTAAATATTTAAAAGACAATTTTAATAACAATAAAAATTAAATCATAAAAATAAGAATTCATCAGAATTTAAATTAATCGTTTTAAAATTAAAATGATATAAATAAAACACTTAGTAAAAATGTATTATATCCTAAAAATGTAAAATAAAAAGAAATACTAAAACACTTACTAAAAAATTTATTAAATCGTAAAATGTAAAAAATAAAATTAAATACCTTTAACACAAAAACTATCAAAATAAAATACTACAAATTAAATCATAAAACTATAGAACTGAACTCAAAATAAAAAAAATAGTAAAAACTTAATAAAATTATAAAAAGTAGAATTGAAAACTATAAAAATAAAATACTACAATTGAACCAAACGGTAAAATAAAATAAATGTAAAAAACTATAAAAAAAAAAAAAAAAAATCGGGAAATCATAAAAATTTAAAATTTCTAAAATATTCTAAAATAAAAACTATCAAAATATAACACTTACTAAAAATAATTAAATCATATATGTGTAAAATTAAAATTAATCATTTTAAAATAGCAAACAATTATAAGATGCTAAAAATGAACTAAAACAAAAATGTAAAATAATAAATAAATAATCATAATCAAAAATGTATAATTTATAAAAGTATTTTTAAATGAATAACGAAATACTAAAAATTAAGTAAATCATAAATATGTAGAATTTAAATTAATTATTTTAAAATAAACACAATCAAAATATAATGCTTATTAAAAATGAATGAAATCACAAAATATAATACTTAAAAGTTTGAGAATTCCTGCTCTACTGGCTTAATTAGATTATATATGACTAGACGTGTGTCTTTAACATCCAGCAGGTGAAACGTCTCGGTTACGTATGGTAACCCTCGTTCCCTGATGGAGGGAACGGAGACGTTGTGTCGAGTGTACGACACTAGGGGTCTCTCTTGGGAGCCCAAACACCTCTGACATCTTTGAGAAAAGGCCAATGAAATTGGCTGTGCAGAATTTGCATGGCTGGCCACGCCCCGGACATCCGGGTATAAATAGGCCAGCATAGCATCTGCTCACTTGTTCTGTTCTGAGGAGTCGAGAAACGTCTCAACCCACTCAGAAGCAATTCGGAGTTGTGGCATGAAGGACACAACATCTCCGTTCCCTCCATCAGGGAACGAGGGTTACCATACGCAACCGAGACGTTCCATTTCTGTCATTCACTTCGACGTTGTGTCAAGTGTACAACACTAGGGTTCCCTATACTAAACGCCACAACTGCCGAACTGCATCACGAGTCCACGGGGGCACAGATGTTGACAAGCTAGCGTGTCACAACCAAATGCACCTAGGGGAACACTGAGCCTCAAGGGCAATACAGTGGAGAATACACACATGGGGCCTCAAAAGGAGCTGCTACATGTGGAGCACTAACCCAATACAAGAGTTCACTCAAGGGAACCTACCACATAATGAGTTCTAATAGCAAGTTCCTCTGTCGAACTTCGCTAAGTAAAGTGCTTATGTGATGGAAGGGTAGTCCAGAGTTCATGAATAAGCGCATAACCACCCAAGGGGGGAGCGGCGCTGGTAGGAAGCTCTACACCCTTCCAGTCTCCTGAGTCGGAAGAACTGACGATCAGGACTCTAGAAAAAACTGGTTCCATTCCCAGATTATAAAATCTAGCAAATGTATTAGGCGTAGCCCAACTTGCAGCTCTACAGATATCCGCTAGAGAGGCCCCGTTCGCCAGGGCTGCTGATGCAGCCATGCCCCTGGTAGAGTGAGCCCTCGCTCCCAGTGGGTAAGGTAGGCCTCTGGCTTGATAGGCCATTCTGATCGCATCCACAATCCAGTGGGAGATCCTCTGTCTGGAGACAGCATTCCCCTTCTGCTGTCCTTCGAAGCAGATAAAGATCTGTTCAGAGCACCTGAAACTCTGCGTGCGATCTAGGTATGTGCGTAGGGCTTGCACTGGGCACAACAGAGACAGGTCGGGGTCCCCTTCTTGTAAGGAGATAGCTTGTAATGTTACCACCTGGTCCCTGAAAGGAGTGGTGGAAACCTTGGGCACATATCCAGGCCGGGATCTCAGGACAACGTGAGAGTCTGCCGGCCCGAACTCCAGGCTTGAATCTTGTTTACGGAGAGGGCTTGGAGATCCCCCACCCTCTTGACAGAAGTGAGCGGAATCAGGAGGGCCGTCTTCATGGAGAGGGCATTGAACTCAACTGACTGAAGGGGCTCAAACGGATCTCTCTGTAAGGCCTGCAAGACCACAGTGAGATCCCAGGAGGGAATGAGTAGTGGCCTCGGAGGATTCAACCTCCGGGCGCCTCTGAGGAACCTGATAACCAGATCATATTTCCCCACCGATCTGCCTCCCACGGTGTCTTGGTTAGCCGCAATCGCGGCCACGTACACCTTGAGTGTAGAAGCAAACAGGTGCCTGTCCAGGCCTCCTTGGAGGAAGGAGAGCACAGATCCGATGCTACATCTCCGAGGGTCCTTCCCCTGGGATGAACACCAATTCACAAAAACGTGCCACTTCAGGTCCTACAACCGCCTCGTCGAGGGGGCTCTGGCCTGAGTAATGGTATTCACCACAGCTGGTGAAAGGTCTCTAAGTTCCTCCTGGTCACATCCAGGGACCAAACATGAAGGTTCCAGAGATCTGGGCGCGGATGCCAAATTGTGCCCTTCCCCTGAGAAAGGAAGAGACAGGGTGTCTGTGTCCAAACAGGTTCTGATACATGGTTTCAGCGTCTGGCCGTTGCAAATGGGAGGGCCAAAAACGCTGTGTGTGTGACCCAGAGAAAAAGGAAATTGCTCTTTTATTGACCAGGTGGTGGCTATCTGCCAGGTGGCAGACAGCTGTGGTGGAGCCGAATCCACCTCCCGTCCCCCCTCCGGAAGTGGATCCAGGCTGGCCAAATGGTCCCTCCTCCCTGAGTCGCCCGTCTCAGGAACGCTTTGAAGCCTTGCGAGGGTTCCTGGTGCCCTGATGACGAGCTGGCGGTGCCACATTCCTGCGAGTGGTGGGCCGTTGGTCAAGCTTGACTGAAGGCCCGGGCTGTTGTGGGGCCTCAGCAGTCCTCACAGGGGGCCGTCCCCGGTGACGAGCAGACGGGGGCTGCTGACTCGGGGGTGCAGGAGCAGGACCTGACCCACGCCGAGGCAGGATGTGTTTGATGGCCTTCGTCTGCAAATTCTTCCCCGGTGTCGCCAAAGAGACCAACCTGTGAACTGGGGGCGTCAAGATAGCGTACTTTCTTGGCTTCCTGCATCTCAGCCAGGTTGAGCCACAGGTGGTGTTCCTGGACCACTAAAGTGGACATCGCCCTCCACAGAGCCTGCGCCGTGACCTTTGTAGCCTGGAGGGCATAGTCAATCACTTAGCGCAGTTCCTGCAGTACATCTGGGTTGGGACCACCCTTGTGCAGTTCTTTCAATGCCTTGGCCTGGTAGACCTGCAGGATGGCCATGGGAAGAAAGGCACCGGGGCAGAGCGCAGCTTAGTGTCACGGTCAGCACCAAGAAACCAATTGTCCAACCGCGAGCGCTCGGGGCAGGGTGGGGGAGACCACTCCAGCCCAATGCTCCCAAGAGCGAACCCTAGTGTCGTACACTCAACACAACGTCGAAGTGAACGACAGAAAGGGAAACCAAGATGTGAAACAGGAGAAAACTTACTGTAAAGTCTCTGTCCGTCTGCGGATGGCACCAACTCACGAACAATCTGCCCGTCGTCTTCATTGTGGTCAAACCATCTGAACAGATGAAGGAGGATATGTTAAAAAAAAGAAGAAAAAAAAGAAAGACAAATGTCACTCAAGAACGACCTATTCTGCACATTAAATGGTTAATTCACCCAAAAATGAAAATTCTGTCATTAATTACTCACCCTCATGTCGTTCCAAACCCGTAAGACCTTCGTTCCTCTAGGATATTTTCAATGGAATCTGACCCTCCATAGACAGCAACACAACTGATTACATTCTGGGGAAAGCGCGCACATATGTCGTGGTACTCTCCAAAATGGCGGAAGACGGTAACTCAGGGAGAAGAATTGTTGAATAAATTGTTATTTTTGTTTTCTTTGCACACAAAAAGTATTCTCGTAGCTTTGCAAAATTGAAGTTGAGCCACTGATGTCACATGGACTGTTTTACTGATGTCCTTGCTACGTTTCTGGGACTGGAAACATTGCAGTTGCGTTGCCGTCTATCAAAAATATCTTAATATGTGTTAGAACGAAGATGAACGAAGGTCTTACGGGTTTGGAATGACATGAGGGTGAGTAATTAATGACAGAATTTTAATTTTGGGGTGAACTAACTCCCAAAGCTTTGGGTTCCAGTTAATGGATTGACGGTAACCTGTCGCATGGGAACTCGACGGCCTGTGATTCGGCCTGGCCTTCTTCTCTGATGACCGCTTTATCCACGAACCATCCGCAGCCTCCGCCGTGGCCGTCGTGACCAATTCTTATCCTGCGCACCTGACCGATGGACACAGCCTCAATGATGAACTCATCCGCCTGTGACAAATACACAGAACACCCAGCTAATAAAGTTTGGCTCCCAGAACGTTCTATTTTAAGGTTTGTATTTGGTTAGACAGGAAGGTTTTCTTAACGAACATAGAATGTTAGTTTTTGGTTTCTAGAATGTTACTCAGGGCTGTACGTTAACTTTTTTTTCACATAGCACTGGTGCTACAGATGTTGAAAGTTTTGTAGCACAGGCCAAACAGTTGTAGCACAAGTATAAAACGTCTGTTATCATGTCTGAAAACAAACACAAGTAATGGAGTTCGTCACTTAAACAGGCATTGATGTTCCATACAGAGCACAAAAAATACAAACCACCACAAAAATTGTTTTAGACAAAGTTTTCTTAATTTGCTAAAAATGGAAGAGTGCAGAAACATAACACCTCTTACACCTTAAAGGGGTCATATGATGTTGCTAAAAAGAACATTATTTTGTGTATTTGGTTTAATGAAATGTGTTTATGCAGTTTAAGGTTAAAAAAACACATTATTTTCCACATACTGTACATTATTGTTTCTCCTCTATGCCCCGCCTTTCTGAAACGCGTCGATTTTTACAAAGCTCATCGGTCTGAAACGCGAGATGTGCTCTGATTGGCCAGCTATCCAGGGAAAAATTGAAATCGCATCATATGACCCCTTTAACAAAATATAAAATAAACAAGAATGGCAGACATTTAGGCCAAAGTGAGCAAAGATAGAAATCTTTGTCATTATTTTATCTTTGTTATTAGAAAATATGAACAAAGATATACATTACAAATACAAATAATATACAAATAAAACAAATAGTGCTTTATTTTTCAGGTACAGTATTTAGCAGTAACATTCAAGAAATTGAATGTACAAATATTAAAATAAAACACTATATACACTATAGACATCAATTATACTTTTTTATGTGTTTATATGTAAACCTTGTGTGTTTTTGATAGTATTAGACGCGAAATCAATCAGACGCGAAAGACAATTTAGTCCAATAATCAGGTGCTTTTTGACAGGCTCTCAGTGTGAGCGAGCTCAGAAAAAGCGCATGCAGAACAGCACGTGAATTAAATGTTTAACCGGTATTGCTTTAAAGCAGATGGAAATAATGTAGTTCCCTTTCATGGGAACTTCGAACTGCGTCCTCTAGGGGGAGCTATGGGGAACGGTATACCCACGCTGCCATGCTGAGGGGAGTGCAAGCCAGAACCATGGCGAGCACTACGCGAAATCAATCAGACGCGAAAGACAATTTAGTCCAATAATCAGGTGCTTTTTGACAGGCTCTCAGTGTGAGCGAGCTCAGAAAAAGCGCATGCAGAACAGCACGTGAATTAAATGTTTAACCGGTATTGCTTTAAAGCAGATGGAAAAAATGTAGTTTTGTGATTGCGCATAAGTGCAGTGTCCTGTGAGAGTAACTCTACCGCTGAGCTAACACTGATGTGAATGTATGTGGCGTTGTACATTATATTGAGACGTATATATACATATAGACATATATGTCGCACTGTACAGCCCTGTTACTCTAACGTTACTTTAACGTTTATGCCCAATAGCATAAATGGTATGGAAGATGGATGTATTGACGCCTATAATCAATATTATACAAATTATATCTTGTTTGTATTTAGTGTTTAAAGCTGCATTCCGTAAGTTTTGCCTCTTTGTCGCCATCTCTGTTTGAAACCTGCAATTGCAGTTATTTGCAGAATTATCTTCTTTATGTGGGTTGTGCATTGGCACAGCTCCAGCGTGGATGAATCTAATGTTTTGAGGTGAATGTGTGGCTGCCAGTCACCGCACCGGTGTGGATACTGTACTTAGGAATAACAGATTCTAGCCTACGTCTTGGAATATATGACCTAAATATGAATTTTCACTGGATATTGTCATCTGAACAAGTAAGTAACAAGTCGGCCACTTTAGTTCTGACCAACTGAGGAAAAAAGCATTATTACAAATCGTGCTACCAATGGTGATTAAATCTAACGTTCGGTTAGCTCATATCACATAAAACCGTGCAAATTATTATTACTGTTATACTTTGTTCTCAAATTGTTAATGTTAACAACATCAGCATTGCGTGAATATGTGTATATTGTTTGATTAGCGTGTAGATTTCAATTTCTGTACAGTCTAATAATTGTCATACCATTCGAGTTTCATATAAAGAAATTATTTTAACCCAAAAAGCAAATTATTCTTCCTGGTTCTCTGGTTCTCTTTCCGTCACCTAGGATCCTCACATGCGATATAGCTACTAGCCGGGTAAACTTTTTATGTTTTCAGACGTGACGGAATGACGCAGCGGCATGTTCGAATTTCGCTCGGTAACTCTCAAATTAGAAAACATTATTATAAGCTAACCATTGTGAATCAAGCTAAGGTAAGGAGATAACACTGGCTGGTTATGTACTTGCTCAAAAATTGATTTCAAATTGATTTTTTTTAACCCAAAAAAAGTTACGGACTGCAGCTTTAATTAATAAAAATAATCCAAGCACATCAACAATCACATGGAAGATTAAATAAGATTACATTTATCCATTAATATGTAAGATTTACTGTATTTCAAATAGATTTTACATTTCTTCAGCAATGACTTAAACACAATCTATGGTTTTTAAACTTTAAACTATGACATTTTTTCACAGACACTAAAATATGAATAAACAGGATATAACTGAAAGTAGGATATCAGTAACGTTACATTTATTTCTTACCTGAATTGTAGGCCTAAGTTACAGTTTAGTCTGTGTAAACAAAAACTTCTCATGTTCTCTTCAGTTAGGCTTTCCGAAATCGTATTTACTCTCATATTTATAGTAATTATAAGAAATTTCTCAATAAAGAGATCGATAAATGAATGTTAGTCAGTCCGCCAGTAAAACGAAACAACCGTTAATTTTTAAATTACGTGTTAAACTATGAAAAATTATGAAAAATGGGGGCAAAAACAAAAGTGTTGCGTTTATAATTTTGTTCAGTGTATATATACTCTGATTTTGTGGCTTGTGTTTTAGAAAATCAAATATTTTTGTAATCTCGACAAAACACATATCGTTGGAAACGTCTGACAGTCAAGGTTCCATATTTGGTAGCTGTTTTGTAATAGAAGTGATATTGTGACAGAAAATTATTGATTTGTTACAGAAAACTGCATCAATAGAATTCAATAGAGTTTGGGTGTCACCCAGTGGTTATTTTTGGTATAGTGCCCAAACAAAATCTTACAGGAACCACAATTTTGGTGATATCAACTTCAAATTTGGTGCATAACTTGGTTAGACACATGGCTTAGATTTTATAGCAATTTGAAATGCAACATATTTTATAAAGTATTTATTTTATATACAATTTAAAACGGCATTATCTTTACTGCAAACTTAAACGTCTATAACTTATTTTTAAAATGCTTCACTTCAGCAGTAATCTGGAATTACAACCATGTTGTAACAAGCATTGATAAACAAGTGTTCTGTTTTCAGTTAATTTATACCCCCAAACTGGCAACGTATCCTGTGGGATACAAACATTAAAATCCAAATTAAAAGTCATGTTTTGAAAAAAAAATTATCAAGTTGTATTATTTGTGTCCCAATAAGATGGAAAATAGCAATACATTAATTTTCTGATGTCTCTTTATGGTCTTGCCATTTTTAGGGTTAAAAATAGCCTCCCTGCAATGTTCTGTAAAATTTTATTTTATGGTTCCAAATTAATAACCTACAAAAAAAACAAAAAAAAAACATTAGGCAACATTCGAAGTTATTTTTGTTATTTAAAAATAACCTCCCTGCAACGTACTGGGAATGTTATTTTATGGTTGCAAAATAATAACCCAAAAATAACCATTAGGGAACGTTCTAAGTTATTTTTAGGTTATTTAAAAATAATCTCCCAGCAACATTGTGTGAACGTTGTTATTTGGTTCTCAAAGAATAACCAAACGGGAACCAAATGCTAACGTTAGGGGAACGTTCTGTGTTTGCAGGGCAGAGCGTCAGAGAGACAAATGGACAAACACAAACACATCATAGAAGCTCCACAGAAACGCCACTAACGTTGCCCTTCTCAAACTTGTTGACGTTGTTTTTGCAGTTGATCAAAGCGCGGTCGCCGGTGTTGCCCTGATCCCCGATCAGACACAGAAACACATGTGCATCTGTTCCTCCGCCGCTCACGCTCCCTGTGTACACTGTGATGCGATACTTGATAACTGGAGGAACAGAAATATCCATTAGAGAGCGAAATGATCTAGTAGACTAATGCTAACGATAATAGTAATGCATAATAATGTACGTGGCAGAGGTTCAGGGATGAGATCTCCGGTGGCTGGAAGCTCTCGCACCACCTCGTTATCGTCCTCATTAGCGTCCAGCCAGCGCTCACATGGGAATTTATATGTTTCCTTTGTTAAAGTTTTCATTATGGACATCTTAGGAGACATAAAGAAGACTGTTATTCAGATATCAAGTGTGAAACATTAAATGCAGCAGCATCTCATGCTCTTACTCGACTTAAATGCCAGCCGGCGAAGGGATTTCTCTTCTCATGCCAGATTCTCAGTTTAAACAGCTTCCCAAGATCCGGTAGTTCAACCTGATAAAACAGATGATAAATGGATCATATTCAGTGCAGATTAGATAGCTTGAACTGCTGAAATGCAAAAACAATGACAATCCATAGAGCAACAAATCCTGTCCATTTGAAATTTTTGTTCAAACTGAACAAATTTAAGTAAATTAATTGATTAAAATGAATACATTAAATTATAAAATGTAGAATAAAAATAATTTTAAAATAAAAAAAATCTAAATAAAACATGCATTCAAATTAAATAATAAAAATGTAAGAAATAAATAATTTTAAAAGTAAAACAATTAAGATAATACACATACTAAATGAATGAAATAATAAAATGTAAAATGTAAAATAAAAATACATAATTTAAAAATATAGCAAATTAAAATAAAACATTTACCAAAATGCATTCAATCATAAAAATGTAAAATTAAAATTAATAAACAAATCAAAATAAAACACGTATCAAATCATAAAAACGTAGAATATAACACTTAATTATATATACTGTTCTTTTGCAAGACAGGATTTTTCTAGTTGACTAAAACCATAAACAAAACAATATGGACATAATATAAATGAAAAAAAAAACCCAACTAAATTACTAAAACTAAAATTAAAATGTGAATATTAAATATAAAAATAAAAATGAACTCAAAAGATTTTATGAACTGTAATATTATCTTAGAGACACCAAAATAACACTGGTATATAAGAAAATATTTCCAATCACAAAATATGTTTTAGTTTTACACACAAATCTTTGTGGTATGAAAATTAACTCAATTTACCAATTCTTTAATTAAATGTATCCACCCTTGCAAAATGGCTATTTACAATGTCATATGAAATGTTTAAATTAATAATTAAAAATTGTATATAGCCATTTTATGTATTTTAAAACACATCTTAACATTTTGCCATTTGGTCATTTCTCCCCAAATCACCTATTTTTATCCTTAAAACGGCAGATTTACCATGAACTTGTCCAGCTGGCCCTGCTCAAAGTTATCGGTTTTGTTGTTGAGTCTCATCTCATCCGACTTGCCCTTCTCTCCGTATATCTGGAGTAAGACAGACGCGTCTGTTCCCGCGCCTGGAAGATCTGACGTCCAGATCCAGAGAGACCAGGGATGCTCTGAGGAGCAGGAGATCCGTTTAACCTCACAAAACCTGCTTCTCTCTCACATTATGAGCAATACTCACTTTTTTGCCTCTTCTGCCTGAGCGACACCATTTCATACAGTTCCCTCTCGATGAGCCCGTCAGCCTCGTCCTCATCCAGCCATTTAGAGCAGGGGAACGTCTGCTCGATGCCAGTGAACGGACAGAAGATGACCACCTACCACACAAAAAACACAGACAAATTAAGCATTTAAAGATGCAGCATTTTCAGTTTAGGACAGCACAGGCGAATAAGGGAAAATATTGTAACCAGTGTAGGGGAAAGTTACTTTTAAAAGTAATGCATTACAATGTTGCGTTACTCCATAAAAAGTAACGAATTACGTTACTTAGTTACTTTTTATGGAAAGTAGTGCGTTACGTTACTTTCGCGTTACTTTTTAAATCTGGACAGGGCTTGCTTGTTTGTTTTTAAAATAAAAAAAGTTATATTTTTGGCAAATAAAAGTAATGCATTACTTTACTAGTTACTTGAAAAAAGTAATCTGAAAAGTAATCTCACGTTACTTGTAATGCGTTACCAACAACACTGAATGTAACTAATATATAACCACAGTTTCCCAGTTGATTAATCACAGTACATTATGACAACTGTTTTGTATTACAAGTTTTCTAAAATGTCATGTTGAAATACGCAAATGAGACAGTATCTAATTAAATATGCACTAATTTGCATACATTTCCAGAGCATAAATCGGAAATTTTCTTTTTATCGCTCCATAAATCAGAAAATTATTGAAGGTAAAAAATGTAATTGCAACTTTTGAACTCACAATTCTGATTTTTTTTTATGTTTGCAAGTCAGAATAGCGAGATATACACTCAGAATTACAAGAAAACTGCGAGATATAAACTTTGTTTTAGTTTTTATAATTTTAATAAATTTTGCAACTCTGAGTTTATATCTCTCAATAATTTTTTCCCCTCAGAATTGCAAGTTAAAAAGACAAAATTGTGAGAATTAAACTCAGAATTGAAAAAAAAAAAAAGTCATAATTATGAGATGAAAAAATTCGCAATTACTTTTTAACATTTTTTAAAAGCTTCCATAGGAATACAGTCAACAGACAAAAAAACAAATACATTTTCACCATGTTTTAGGAATAAAATGTTGTATAAATCACTGTGAATGAAATATAACCGAACCTTCAGAATACACAGAGGAATAAAACTGTAAAGTGTGGTGCTTGTAAGACAAAAAACTCTTCGAAGATATGGATTGGAATTGAAATCTACAGACGCAAACAGATAAAGTGCAATAAAATAAACACTTGAACTAAAAAGAAGGAAAAACATGTTATGGATGCAAAATAGACCAAAATCTCTAGAGTAGGCTATGTCTCGCCTTAATACTAAATAATTGTTGCTGTTTTTTACAAACTAAATGACAAATTGAAAATATTTTCGATGATAATCAACGGTGAAGTTTAAGCAAAGGTGACACATGAAATGAACCGAATGGAGGACAGAGACTTGACCTTGTCGCAGTACCAGCCGGCACTGACGCCTCCATTATCGTGACCGATCGTGACTCGGCTGAGCGGACTGAGCAGCGCCGCAATCTCCACGTTAAAGATGTCGGTGAGGCCGCGCTCAAACTTCCCTCCTTCCAGGAAGATCTTGCCGCTGTTCTTCATTCCTTTGGAGCCGTGCATGATCATGTGGATTTTGGAGTTGGTACCTGCACCTCTGATCTTCCCTGTCACCACCTGAACGTTGTACACGATGCCTGCAAAAATATAAAATATATATATACACAACATATGTTATAATGAGTCCAGACTGGCTCATCATCAGTGTTTTTGAAAAAAGTCCCATCTGCGCACCAAGGTTGCATTTATTTGATCTTAAAAAAACTGTAAAAATTTGAAATATTATTAGAATTTAAAACAGCTGTTTTCTATGTGAATATGTGTTAAACTGTAATGTATTTCTGTGATGCGCAGCTGTATTTTCAGCATCATTACTCCAGTCTTCAGTGTCACATGATCTTCAGAAATCATTCTAATATGCTGATTATTAGAAACATTTCTGATTATTATCAATGTTGAACACAGTCGTGCTGCATGATATTTTTGTGGAAAACGTGATACACTACCATTCAAAAGTTAAAGGGGTTAGTAAGAAGAAAAAAGAAAGAAATCAATACTTTTATTCATCAAGGATGCATTAAATGGATCAAAAGTGCCAGTAAAGACTTCTATTTCAAATAAATGCTGTTCTTTTAAAATTCCTATTCATCAAAGAATCCTGAAAAATTAAATGCATCATAGTTTCCACAAAAATATCATGCAGCACGACTGTTTTCAGCATTGATAATAATCAGAAATGTTTCTTGAGCAGCAAATCAGCATATTAGAATGATTTCTGAAGATCATGTGACACTGAAGACTGGAGTAATGATGCTGAAAATACAGCTGCGCATCACAGAAATACATTACAGTTTAACACATATTCACATAGAAAAAACCTGTTTTAACTGCATTTTTAATCAAATAAATGAACCCTTGGTGAGCAGAAGAGACTTCTTTCAGTAACATTAATAATCTCAACAACCCAAAATCTTGAATAGTAGTGTAAATAGACGCAACATTACATTGTGATGATGCTGATTTTTTTAAACCAGTGCTTTAGTTTGGAGGTTGCACGAGGAGATTTTGTCTAAGTGATACTTCTGCAATGTTTACCGGTGGGTTGACTGCCTCCAACCAGAACATCTCTCTGTATCTTCCCATCATCCTCATCGATGGCAAACCAGCGGCCGATGGGAAACTCGTACATGGCCTTGTTTCCCAAATCATCCACTATGACCTGAAATAAAAGCAGACAGCAGAGGTGAGCGCTGGGTTTCCGTGTGAACAATCTATGTGCATATCTATCTGAGGCAGCGGTTCTCATCCGCAGGAAAACCAATCCAGTAGAGTAGTGCGGTGTTTCCTTTCAGTGTGGATAAGGTGACGAGAATGACCTCATCCTGAGAGATGTGATGTGAGGTGGAGTGCAGCTCTCCAACAAGATGAAAAACTTCAAGACAAACTTGTTGATGTTGGCTTGAGAAAGCCTGAGAGCATGAAGTAGCTGTAAAAGTTTGAAACAGTTCAAAAGTTTGAACGTTCAGTATAATTTTAGCCCTTAAAACTCATCTTTTGATAATCAAAATGACATATTTAAGTGTTACAATTAACTTGTTTTTTGAATGTAACTCTACAAGCTTACCTTATTTAGTATGCATGGATCTATGAATATGCTAATTATTCCCCGCCTCCACTTTCACTCAGTGAACTGAAGCAGTAAACGCTACCCCAACATTTTCACATTTATGATAGACTTTTGACCACAGTTTCATGTCGTCTAAAGTCTCTATTTATAGATACGGTAACTTACATACTCATAATTCATAAAGAGAGCTTTTTATGTTAGAATAGTCATCAGACAATAATTACACAATTTTGATTATTTAAAACCAACAATATGATAACATGATTTCTTTGGATTGTTCGACTGAGAATATAGCAAAATATAACATAATTTGTGTATCCTGCTAGCTAAATTTCACATACATACACAAAAATTTGGCTCTAAACCTCTCTTTTCTTTATTCAAAGTTGATCTTGACAAGTACATGGAAACTATCCGAAGCTCTGTTCATCGTAAAAAAAACTGTATCTCTATATTCATCCTATGTGTTCTCTTAAAGTGTACATTTATTACTTTTTTTGTTAACCTGGCAACACATCCCTTATGAAAATTAACCATGGTTTTACTTTAAAGCAAAAAAACAAACATGGTTACTGTCATTAAATCATGGTTAACCATTGTATTAGTAGTAAAATATTTGGTTATACTGTAGAAATGGTAACCAATAAGCCTACGCCCAAAAAAACTACGGTTAGTCTTTTACCTATAATAAAACCATGGTTGATTTTTTTAAGGGATTTGTAAATGTGTACACTTTCTTTCTTTTTTCTTTATTGTTTTGGTTTTATAACTGCACTGCCTTAATGGTTTGATGTTTTGTACTGTTTAATAAAGAAAAGAAGAAAAGAAATCAGAAAAACAATATTCTCAATTTAAATCAAATGATTCGTGCTCCAAAAAACTCATCAAAAACTTTTTCGAGTGCCTTGGATTGATGAGTTTTTTGATGATATAAAAGAATCCCCGCATCCAAAGAGCACTGATTCATGGAGTTCACACCCCAGCAGCATTTTTTTGCATATTTTTGGATGCATGATTCACGCTCCAAATTTGCCGATCTGAATCAAATGATTAACAATACACGCTCCGAAGACCAGATCTGAATCAAAAGATTTGCGAACCCATTCTGAAGTACCGATCTAAATCAAAAGATTCACGATCCGTGCTGCAAAGTCCCGATCTGAATCAAAAGATTCACGAACGCACTCCGAATTTCCATTCTGAATCAAATGATTCACAAACCCGCTCTGAAGTTCTGATCTAAATCAAATGATTTGCGAACCCGCAGCAAAGCCCCGCGAATCAAAAGATTCACGAACCCTCTCCAAAGCTCCGATCTAAATCAAAAGATTTACGAACGCACTCTAAATTTCCATTCTGAATCAAATGATTCACGAACCCGCTCTGAAGTTCTGATCTAAATCAAATGAGTCGCGAACCTGCACTGAAGCCCCGAGAATCAAAAGATTCACGAACCCTCTCCGAAGTACCGATCTAGATCAAATGACTCACGAACCCGCACCGAAGTTTTGATCTAAATCAAATGATTCACTATCCATGCTCCGAAGTCCTGAACTAAATAAAAATTCGCAAACCGTCACTTCATATTCGGAACACATATGACGAATCATTCAATTCGCGAAATGATTCACGAACCCGCTCCGAAGGTCCGATATGAATCAAAAGATTTACAAACCCACTCCGAAGTTCCGATCTAAATCAAATGATTCACTATCCATGCTCCGAAGTCCCGATCTAAATAACAATTTGCAAACCGTCACTTCATATTCGGAACACATATGACGAAACATTCAATTCGCGAAATGATTCACGAACCCGCTCCGAAGGTCCGATATGAATCAAAAGATTTACAAACCCACTCCGAAGTTCCGATCTAAATAAAATGATTCACTATCCATGCTCCGAAGTCCTGATCTAAATAACAATTCGCAAACCGTCACTTCATATTCGGAACACATATGACGAATCATTCAATTCGCGAAATGATTCACGAACACGCTCCGAAGGTCCGATATGAATCAAAAGATTTACAAACCCACTCCGAAGTTCCGATCTAAATAAAATGATTCACTATCCATGCTCCGAAGTCCTGATCTAAATAACAATTCGCAAACCGTCACTTCATATTCGGAACACATATGACGAATCATTCAATTCGCGAAATGATTCACGAACCCGCTCCGAAGGTCCGATATGAATCAAAAGATTTACAAACCCACTCCGAAGTTCCGATCTAAATAAAATGATTCACTATCCATGCTCCGAAGTCCTGATCTAAATAACAATTCGCAAACCGTCACTTCATATTCGGAACACATATGACGAATCATTCAATTCGCGAAATGATTCACGAACCCGCTCCGAAGGTCCGATATGAATCAAAAGATTTACAAACCCACTCCGAAGTTCCGATCTAAATCAAATGATTCACTATCCATGCTCCGAAGTCCTGATCTAAATAACAATTCGCAAACCGTCACTTCATATTCGGAACACATATGACGAATCATTCAATTCGCGAAATGATTCACGAACCCGCTCCGAAGGTCCGATATGAATCAAAAGATTTACAAACCCACTCCGAAGTTCCGATCTAAATCAAATGATTCACTATCCATGCTCCGAAGTCCTGATCTAAATAACAATTCGCAAACCGTCACTTCATATTCGGAACACATATGACGAATCATTCAATTCGCGAAATGATTCACGAACCCGCTCCGAAGGTCCGATATGAATCAAAAGATTTACAAACCCACTCCGAAGTTCCGATCTAAATCAAATGATTCACTATCCATGCTCCGAAGTCCTGATCTAAATAACAATTCGCAAACCGTCACTTCATATTCGGAACACATATGACGAATCATTCAATTCGCGAAATGATTCACGAACCCGCTCCGAAGGTCCGATATGAATCAAAAGATTTACAAACGCTCTCCGAAGTTCCGATCTACATCAAATTATTCGCAATACACGTCCCAAAGTCTCATTCTGAATCAAATGATTCGCGATATGCGCTTTGAAGTCCCAATCTGAATCAAATTACTTGCGATACCCGATCCGATTGGAGAGCATCGAAATAGTAGCTAAATCATTTTGCAACGTTTTGGATTTGGAGTTTCGAAAAGCTCGATTTCACCCATCACTACATGCTTTTTAAAACCATTACAAGTGATGTCGAAATTCAAAGATGAATGGCTCTTTGATCTGATTTTTTGCTAGAGAATGGAGTTTGTGTGTGAATCAGTTGGAGCAGTTCCAGCGTAAATGACTCACTCAATTGATTCGGTTTGTTTGTTCATGTTTACACGACACTGTCAGCACTACTACTGGCTCATCTCGCTAGTTTTATGACATTAACTAAAATAAGCACAAAAAAAAAGGTTGTTTACAAATAAAATATCAATATTTCCATGCCAAAGATAACATCCAACACAAATCTAGAACAGATTCAGGTGAGGTAACCGGTTTACTGCTAACTAGTGAAACACTCCATTAATATGATGAGCTGCAGCTCTAAATGCATGTTAGATGGAAACATTCACTGTAGGCCTATTTGAAATAGTTTTTGTGCACTGCAGTTCAGTTTGTGACAATTCAAGAGGAAATCAGTTGAAAGCATTACATTATTAAAAATTGTGTTATTGTAAGATGGGAGATTATGGGAGAAGCAGATGAACACAAAATAGCATGATCTTGACATTGGTGGGGACATAACAGCATTACCCCAACATTTTTGCATTTATTCATGTAAGGACGTTCATAAAGGCAGGCACCTGCTTCATTCTTAAATGAATCAGCTGTTTGAACGAATTGGTTGAATCAATGACTCAATAACTTACTAATTAAAAGAGTCAGTCGCTGCCACCTACTGGTGGTTTGGTTTCATACTTAAGATTATCTGTTATAAAGTGTCTTATTATTGTAATTTTGTATTGTAGACTTTCACAGGTTGCTATGAGTTTGCCAGAGTGTTCAGAATGGCAAAAGGACAAAAGTCTTCTTCTCCGAACAATGTATCAAAATGAAGTGAATTTTAGGCTCAAAACTTTTCTATTAGAAAAATAATTTTTTGTCCCTTTGAATTAAGCAAATTTTCAACTGACACATAATTGTTATTGTTTTAAGCATAAATTCACTTCATTGTAATGCATTTTTCAGACTACGAGACTTAAGTCATTTTGATGACTTGATTTAAGGATGTTCAGATATTTGTTCTGGAAAACAGGAAAAAAATACTAAGGTATAATTATTTTTTTGCAGTACTTAGCATGTGTTTGTGTGAGCTGATTACAGCAAATGCTCTCTGAGTCTGTATTCTATTCTAAAGAGTCTGTGATATATTGAAATCTTTATTGAGTTGTGACTGAGTTTGTACCTTTTCCACAAACCATCCAGCCGAGGATCCCCTGTTGTTGTGTCCGATGGTTATTTTCCTCACTCTGCCCAGGTTCGGAGCCTCTATGGTGAACTTGTCTTCGGTTCCCCTCTCAAAGTTGTTTTTATCATTGTCTAGTCTTCTCTCTCCTTTGGGATATAAACACAATATATATTAATGTAACTGGATATTAAATGCAAAAACCATCAAAGATGAAGTGATGGCGTTTGGGGTCAGAAACCCAGCGGCTGTGTGATATCAGGTTCTGTGTGTCGCTGAGGACACGCTATAAGTCTATGGACACTTTAAACCAGCCAGATCATACACTGGACATCACGAGCTAATTAAGCCTTGTGAAAAAGAAGCACACTTTAGCATGCTTAATATACTAAGAAGTGTGAACTGAGTGTAATGTTTCAAACATTTAATAGCATGTTATTTACAATTAAATTAGCCATTTTATTAAATGCAGTTAGTTGAGCTTTGGAGTGTTTTTGACCCACTAAAGTACATCTTTATATGCAATTTCATAATTACGTGTATTGTCCTTGAAATATGATTAAAGTGCTTGGCAAGCATTTATGGTAAACCAAAATATACTTAAATATAATTTCTGTTGACATTAGTTCGTCATGTATTTAAATATATTATACATCTGTAATGTTGCAATTCAGTGCATGATTTAAAATATATCATAAATGTAATTGTAAATCAAATCACACTAAAAGTACTTTACATGCGTGCTTTAGTACGTTAGTCAACACATCAAAATAAGTGTACTTCTTAAAAGCATACTTGCTTACTTAATCCTCTTCGTTTCACGTGAAGCTTTGTCTTTAAAGTAAAACTTTTAATTTGACACTATTATAAAGTGCACTTTTTAAAAGTGTGTTAAGAAACAGTCATGAAAGTGGCTATATAGAAGTAGAATAATGTTATATAAATAAAAAAATATATATATATACTTTTAAGATCTGAAGTACACTAGTGCACATTCAATATTAATTAAACACACTTCTTTTTCACAAGGGAACACACCACGTGGATATAGCTTAATTTACAAAACATAAAAAAATGAATATAAAAATGAATATATTACATTTGAATTTTTTTTATTATTATTTTATATATAAAGTATGTATG